AATTTATGTTGTCAATTCATATAAGTTAAATATGAATTTCATTGGGGGAAGACAACGATACATAACATTGGAACATCTTAATAACCCAAATATCAAAATTGCCAGACCCTTGTAATTTGCTTCCATGTCCACCTTAAGTCAATAAACCTACATAAAGAATAGCATTGAACTGAGCCACAGTAAATATTGACAGCTATACGAGAGAAAACAAGCTTCAGACTTAGCCATATAAACTTTTTTTCATATGATTGAGAAACATGACAATTGAGGATTGTTCTAGTGGTAGAGCACCTCTATCACCAACTGATAATTAAGTTGGAGGTTCGAGTCACATAGAGGGTAAGTGTAAACACTCTTGATCCTCTTCAGGTTGGGAAGAAGAGAAGAAAAGATCGAAACGTTTATACTCATTGACATACAAAAGATAGAATAGATTTGGCGACATTTCAGAAAAGTTTCATATTACAAAAGCAAAATTACATTGAAATCTTCTAGACATGAGCTTGCAGATGATCCAATAAGCTATCCTAACATTGATGCATTGCAGAAAACTCCTTCTCCCTCTGTATCTGCGTAACAAAAACAACTATGGATGTGTCCTCTTACCATAAGGTCACTAGTCCAGAGGCAACAGATCAGTGGCGGACCCAGGACATCAAAGGTGGTGCCGAGTACGACAAGCATGATTTGGTAGTTATTTTCTTTTCTTTTTGTTGATAACACAATCTCAAAATAAAGTCATTTTAAAGTCGGCGATCAACAGTTTTAAAAAAGTTGGGCCTAAATGAAAAAATATAAAAGCCTATTCATTTTTATTTTTAAAGTATTATCAACTTAAATCAACATATTTAACAAATTTTCAAACTTTCATAAAAAAATCAGTTTATCCACCTCAAAACTTATTAGCTCTAATATTTTTAACAAAATTATAGAACTTTTTTGTATTTTATAAATAAGAAGTAGTTATCTGCAAACAGACGACAATAAAAATGATATATAAAAAAGTGCAAAAAAATACCAATAATTAAAGAAAGAAAGCTAAACACTAAACCAAAAAATCAATATAAAATAAATAAATAAATAATTTCAACATAAACTAAATTAAATTAAAATAACAAGTAGATAATTTCAACAAATGTACTTGCATATTTTAGTTATTTATAACAAACTGATAACCAAAAGAAATTTGTTGAAAGGTTTAATTTTTCGAAATAGAATAATTTTAGAATGATTTTCACTGAATTCAAGTAAAGAAACATGTTGAAAAAGAAGTAGTAAAGAAACTTAAAATGAAATAGAAAATGATAGACTAATAAATTTTGAAGACAAGTTGTAGTTGATTTAACATGCAAAGCCCAATTTAACTTGCACAGTTGGTTGCACATCCTTTATTCCAATGCGAACAAAACGAAAAATTGAAATAGGGAGAGGCACTTGTTAGACCTAATGTAAAATTTGAGTAAAAATAGCAGGGGCTAGCCAGTTTTCGGATTGGTCATTCAAAAATAGCCAGCATTTGCAAAGTCATTGAAAAATAGCCACTATTTTACTGCAATAGGAACCGGTCCAGCATAATATACTGGAGATCGGTGCACCTGTGTATGAACTTCCAACATATGTATTGCCATAGATTATTGTTGAAAGAGGCGAAGAACATTGTAATACACTTAAAAAGGGCTAGATTCAAGGTAAGTGAGGCTAACTCTATATGTTTGGGAATGTTAATGATTCTTTCTACACTATGTTTCTTTTACAACATTACTAATTGTCTCAGAAATATAGTTAATCTTAGTTCCTTGAATAGTTTTAGGACTTCTATTCTCTATCTTCGTAATTCCTTCATAACTTTCATTACGAATGTTGTGAGCTCAGTGTATAATCAATATAGACTTGTGTTTGATGCTCATGAGTCTCAGTCTAGATTACTCAGCATGTCATAAACAATTGAATATTCAAGTTTCATAATCAATACATGAATACATGTCCCAATCTAGTCCTATTCCATTATCATGTTTATCAGTATTTCAGCATCACGTATTGAAATATGATTCTCAGTTCCTGATTTTAAATTCCTGACTGTTGAACACCTATATTTGGGTCTGAGGCCGTAATTTTGTCTTTATGCATATTTGGGTCTGAGGCTATAGTTTATGCTTTATATATCTTTTGGCTTGAGGTCGTGGTGATGTATACGTATATTTGGGCCCGAGGCTGTAGCTTGTGCACATATATATTGGGCCCGAGGCCGCAGTTTATTCAGATAAACAGGTGGTTTATCATTCAGAAGAGGGGGTATTCATATCCTTACTTCCTTTGTTTCAGTTATCAGTTATCGGTTATCATTTCAGTTTCAGTAATTATCATTTCAGTTATCAGTTATCATTTGAGTTATCAGTTATCAGTTATCATTTCAGTTTCAGTAGTTATCATTTCAGTTATCAGTTATCATTTGAGTTATCATATATTAGTTATCATTTCAATTTCAGTTTCAGAAGTTATCAGTTCTCAGTTATTAGCTCAGTTTCAGTTTCAACATTTACGATTCATTATTTTAGTTGCATTACATACCAGTGCAATCTAAATGTACTGACTTCCCTTTCGCCCGGAGTATGCATCTCACCATGCAGATAATGATTTACAGGTTGACGATTCAGAGCGCTAGGATTCTCGTACCAGCTATTTGGTATTCGCGGCATTATCATTACTTTATAGTCTTCAGTATTTTTAGAGTCAGTATTTTTAGTACTTCATTAGAGGCTTCATAGACTAGAGTAACGGTTAGACGGAGTCGCAAGCTTTTTATGTTAAGCAATATTAGCTACCGATATATTTTAGACTTATGTTAGTGATTTCGCACATTGATTTACATCATACTTTCAATATATCAGCATGTGTTTCTTTATCTTCCGCATGCACTATGTTATGATATCACATGCTAATTCAGCAAGCCAATTGGTTCGCTCAGTCGCATGTAGTCAGGTACCGGGTGTCATGTAACGTACAGGCCCAGGTTCGGGGTGTGACACACCCAATTTTGTTTGAAGCACCTGTCTTCAACTCCCATTAGTGCACTTTGTCACCAACATCTAATTTTGTTGAAGCACCTATACTACTCACATTGATGCGTTTTGTCACCAACATCTAATTTGTTGAAGTATATGTCTTCAACTCATATTGATAGACTTTGTCACTAACATCCATTTGCTGATGCAGCTATCACTATCTCCCAAATTATTTTTTTAATAGCTACTCTCCAAGTTTTTAGAGAAGAATTTCTTCATCTTGTTTCATATGGGCTAGCACCTATTTTATGTAATATAATAATTTCTTCGATTATTCATAACATGATTATTTTTTATGCATATATTATTCGCCAGACGTTTGCCAACATACTTATTGGCCAGACAGTTTGCATAGATTTGCTAGCACCACTCGCTGACAACGGAAGCTACTTGATTCTCTCCCAATATCGTAATAGTTCTAATACTAATATTTAGAAAAAACATTAATTTTTAATCTTTGAAAGATCTCTACAATTCTTTATTTCTCCTCCACATATGAAAATAACTAGTAGCACCCTTATTTGTAATAGTACGAGACCTATTTTAACTAGAAACATGAAAATATATTCCTATATAATTCTTACTACAATTACTAATTAAACATGAATTGAATGAACTTGTAAATACCAAGACCTAAATAATTTTGGTCTCCTACTATAATTTTAAATTAGTCTTCCAACAGAATTATATCATATGATTTTTTTTGCCAAGAAACTTATTAGTCGAACTTTTCTAACGGATGGAGGAGACCCGGAGTAAGGAAAAGTGAGAATCGAATCTTGTATTAGTATTTAGAATGCAAGTTCGGTATGAAATGCTATTACGTGCAGGGAAAAAACACTTCTAAAGTATACTTGCTTCAAAAGTCGTAGCTAGAATCCTGACTGCATCAAACTTCAGAACTTGGCCATGATGCTTGGGAATAAAGTCGTGGAGTAAATATAAAAAACAAAAACACGACAGTTTGATACACTAAGCTTCCGTTAATGTGGGTCCGGGAAGAGTCGGACCACAAGGGTCTATTGTACGCCGGGGAAGAGCCGGACCACAAGGGTCTATTGTACGCAGCCTTAACTTGCATTTCTGCAAGAGGTGGTTTCCACGTCTTGAACCCGCTATATGCGGGGTCCGAGGATGGACTGGACCACAAGGGTCTATTGTACGTAGCCTTGCCCTGCAATTCTATAGGAGGTTGTTTCCACGGCTTGAACCCGTGACCTCCTGGTCACATGTCAGCAACTTTACTAATTACGTCAAGGCTCCCCTTCTCGTTGAGTAGATATAAATCATTAAATCCTTATACACCGTGAGATAAAACCGTTAAAACACCCAAAAAAAAAAAAAATTGGAGGGAGACCAACCAATGTGCAAACTTTTCTGCCGATTAAAAGCTACAAACATGAAGAAGTTTTGACCATTTGAAAGGATGCACTACAATGGAATTTCTGCAGACCGTGGTTTATGAAAGATTTTAAGAATTTTATTTACTCAAATTTTCATGTATCAAAAAAAAAAGTTAATTAAAACACCAAAATTATAAAACGACAAATAATTTATCTTCTTCTTGTACCTGTTTCCAGCATCCCTATTATTAGTCTTCTTAATCATTCAGCATTAATTAGCATATTACATGGCCTACATATCCTCAAACTCAATCCTAAAATTCTTATTTTTTTCATTTGGTCAAGGGTGAGCTGTTCACTGGTTTCATCCTAGAACATGCTATATTTTTTAATCCTACATCAAGATATAGGAACTTTAATGGATATGTGACCTATTCAAAAGACTATACTAATATTTATACAATGTCATACTTTTCAAATTATTAGTTAGCACATGAACCATAAACTATTTGAATAAACAATTAAAAAGTCCATTTAACATCATTTCCTTCTCTCACATTTTCTCATGACTACCCAACCATATTTGTGTTATTCTATGTTTATATATTTGGAGCTAGCTCGTTCATTTAAATGTAAAAGTGACAAAAAAAAACAAGGAAGAAATGGAGAAACTTTTGTTGATGGTTTTCTTGTTAATAGCAATAGCCATGCCTACAATAACTCATGGGCTTGATCAAAGTCCAAAAGGAGTGGAAAAATGGTTCAAGAAGCTTCCCCATGCAAAAGAAAAAATGACCAAACTTCACTTCTACTTTCATGACACTGTGACTGCCAAGAACCCTTCAGCAATCCAAATAGCCCAAGCCAACATCACATTTCAATCACCAACTTTTTTTGGCCTATTAAGGATGTTTGACAACTCACTGACTGTTCGGCCAGATCCCAATTCAAAAGAAATAGGTCGAGCCCAAGGGATTTATGGCTCAGCTTCGTTTGAAGATATAGAACTTCTTATGACTCTCAACCTTGTGTTCACTAAGGGCAAGTACAATGGTAGCACACTCAGTATCCTCGGACACAACCGGATATTTCACGAGTATAGAGAGTTACCTATTGTTGGTGGTTCGGGTGTTTTCCGGCTAGCACGAGGGATCGCCACCGCGAAAACTTACTGGGCTAGTAACGCCACGCAGAACGCAATTGTTGAATACCATGTTGTGGTTTTGCATTATTGAACTCTCCCTTGTTTGTTTTGATTTTTCATGTATCCGGATGTGATGCCAAATGCCAATAATTTGAATGTGTGTAACGAACAAAAGTAATTGTCTGTTCCCTTGTTTGTAAATTTCAGTGTGTTTGGAATGACATAAAGCATATTTTGCTGTTTGAGTGCATTAAAGTGTGAAAATATTTCACATCAAGTAACAATTTAATATCGAAGACCCGCTTTATAAGATTACACTAAGTTTTTTATTGCAAGTAGCAATTTAATGATTCATCCCGTAATTGCTGACTTTTGCTAGATGTTAGTTGTCTTTTTCTACATCTAAACATTGTTTTCTTGAAATAATATAAATTTAAAATATTGGAAAATCATCCACTTCCTTAAAATTTATCATGATTTATAGAAAATCAATTGAGGTCCAATGACTAAAAGTCTAAAAGGTGTATTCCAAGGGTGGCCTTCCATAAAGCAAGTAAAGCAACCGCTTTAGGTCTCATATTTTTTGGGGCCCCATTTTTTGTTACATCTAGTAGACTATATATAAGTTTAAAAAAGAGTTCTGCAAAGTGAAAAAGTTTGATTTCTTTCTCTAACAAATATAGAGAAGAAGAATTTGCAATTATACTGTTATGATTTCTACCAAGGAAATTGCACTCTAAATGAATATCGAACCCAAATTTCGTAAGAAACGTGTGATATATAGGAAGTAACAAATTGATGCACGAATGTTGATAATGAAATCTCAAAATCTTTCAAAGAGTCCTTTAGAATTGATTACTTTTATATTTATACATAATAGACAAGGCTATTTTTTCACTTCAAAAAAGATTTGAACAATTCGAAGCATATGAAAATATTTTTGGTGTTTTATTTGGCAGTAAAAACTAAGATCACTAGATGTTGGAAATTTAAAAAAAAATATTGCCTTAATATTGAATGATCCTTAAAGCATAATAATCAATTCGATATTGATGGTTTAGATTTATTTTTTGAATTAAAAGAATTAAGGAAAATAGTACAATTAGAAGATAACAATTTAATTGATACACTTAATCAAATAAAAGGATTTAATTCTTTTTCAAATGCCTAAATTGCTTATGGAATAATGTTCATAACTCATGTTACCGTTGCTTCAGCGGAAAGAATTTTTCAAAATTACAATTGATAAAATGATATCTAAGAACAACGGTGTCACACGAAAGGTTAAATGGATTAACTATATTGTCAATTGAGAAATACTTATTAGGAGTTATTGAATATGAGAAAATTATTAATAACTTAGTATCTATGAAAAGCTAAAAAAAAATAGACTTCAAATAAAAAAAAAAATTAAAAAGTTAAGGCCCCTCATAAAGTTTAGCTTTAGGCCACAAAATTCGTCGGGCCACCCTGGTGTATTCTATACGATATTGTCAATGTCACGACCCAGATTTCCCACCCTCGGGAGTCGTGATGGCGCCTACTAATAGGAGCTAGGCAAGCCAATTAATTTAACATTCTCTCAACATCATTAACAGTATAAAGAAGAACGAGGCAATTAACATAAAAGCGGAAGTCTCGAAACATAAATAACTGAAACCAAGTGCGAAAATTCAAATACACCTCTACCCAGATCTGGTGTCACTAAACTCACGAACTTCTACTGAATGCTAAAAACAAAGTCTGAATAACAATACAGTACTGTCTGATCCGATACAAGGGAAATCAAACGAAAGACAGAGATAAGAGAGACTCCGGGCCATGCGGATTCCAGCAAGCTACCTCGAAAATCTCCGGACTGAAGTAAGCTCCCAACACTCCTACTGCTGACCAAAGGCTCCTGTTCCGGCACTATGATCTATGCAAAAAGCACAGAAGTGTAGCATCAGCACAACCGACCCCATGTGCTGGTAAGTGCCTGGCCTAACCCCGGCGAAGTAGTGATGAGGCTAGACAGGACCTACCAAAAACAACCTGTGCAGGTATATATATACAAAGGCAACAGTAATAACAACAGAGAATATCGACTAAAAAGGGGAAAGGGGCAGGCTCGGGGAAAATACAGCGAATACAGATCAACGGATATAACGACGAAACTATCTCAATACCATAGCTCATATATAAGTGGTCGGCGCGCCACACGATCCCATTTCTTAATTCATAAGTGGGCGGCGTGCCACACGATCCCATTTCATAATATATAAGTGGTCGGCATGCCAAACGATCCCATTTCATAATATATAAGTGGACGGCGTGCCACACAATCCCATATTATAGTATATAAGTGGACGACGTACCACACGATCCCATATTATAGTTCAAAGTATCTGACTTTGTAAAGAAGGCCCCATTAGGGGAATTCAACAACATAACACTTTAACCCGGCAAGTATACAACTAACAGATGTGGATAACGGCTCCGCATATCGGACTCGGACTCCCAGGTCGAGGCCTCAGGGGCTGACCTCTCCACTGAACACGAACAGAGGGAAAACTCCTAGATCTCAACTGACGGACCTGCCGGTCTAGAATAGCTACCGGCTCCTCCTCATAAGATAAATCCTTGTCCAACTGGACTGTGCTGAAATCTAACACATGGGTAGGATCGCCGTGATACCTCAGAAGCATAGACACATGGAAAACTGGATGCACGGCTGATAAGCTAGGTGGCAATGCAAGTCTGTAAGCCACCTCCCCCACAGGATCGAGAATTTCAAATGGGCCAATGAACCTTGGGCTAAGCTTGCCCTTCTTCCCAAATCTCATCACGCCCTTCATAGGCGACACTTGGAGCAAGACCCGCTCACCAACCATGAAAGCTACATCTCGAACCTTACGATCCGCATAACTCTTTTGCCGCGACTGAGCCGAACGAAGCCTGTGCTGAATGATCTTGACCTTATCCAAGGCCTCCTGAACTAAATCTGTACCCAATAACCGAGCCTCCCCCGGCTCAAACCATCCGACTGAGACCGAAATCGCCTACCATACAATGCCTCATATGGAGCCATCTGAATGCTGGACTGGTAGCTGTTGTTGTAGGCGAACTCTGCTAAAGGCAAAAACTGGTCCCACGAGCCTCCGAAATCAATGACACAGGCTTGGAGCATATCCTCCAATATCTGAATAGTCCTCTCGGACTGGCCGTCCGTCTGAGGATGGAACGCTGTGCTCAACTGAACCTGCATGCCCAACTCCTGCTGAACTGCTCTCCAGAAGCGCGAGGTAAACTGCGTACCCCGATCCGAAATAATAGATACCGGTACCCCATGAAGGCGAACAATCTCTCGGATATAGATCTCAGCTAACCTCTCCGATGAATAAGTGGCTGCAACAGGAATAAAATGCGCTGACTTAGTCAGCCTATCAACAATGACTCAAATAGCATCAAACTTCTTCCGAGTCATCGGAAGTCAAGTAACGAAATCCATGGTAATCCTCTCCCACTTCCACTCGGGAAGCTCAATCCTCTGAAACAAACCACCAGGCCTCTGATGCTCATACTTAACCTGCTGACAGTTCAAACATCGAGCCACATATGCAACAATATCCTTCTTCATCCCGCGCCACCAATAAAGCTGCCGCAAGTCCTGATACATCTTCGCGGCGCCCGGGTGAATAGAATACCGAGAACTATGGGGCTCCGCTAAGATCAACTCTCGAATCCCATCGACATTGGGCACACAAACTCGCCCCTGCAACCTCAAAACACCATCATCATCTAAGGTCACCTTCATGGCACCTCCACGCTGCACCGTGTCTCTCAGGACACACAAATGGGGATCATCAAACTGCCGATCACGGATACGCTCCAATAATGAAGAACGAGCGACCGTACAAGCTAACACTCTGCTAGGCTCAGAAATGTCCAACCTCACAAATCGATTGGCCAGGGCCTGAATATCCAAAGCAAGCGGTCTCTGGCTGACCGGAACATAAGCAAGACTACCCATGCTGGCGGACTTCCTACTCAATGCATCGGCCACCACATTGGCTCTCCCCGGGTGGTACAAAATAGTAACATCATAATCCTTCAATAGCTCCAACCACCTCCTCTGCCTCAAGTTCAACTCCTTCTGCTTGAACAAGTACTGCAGACTCTTGTGATCAGTGTACACCTCACACGTCACACCATATAGGTAATGCCTCCAAATCTTCAAAGCATGAACAATGGCTGCCAACTCTAGATCATGAACCGGATAATTCTTCTCGTGGATCTTCAACTGCCTCGAAGCATAAGCAATGACTCTGCCATCCTGCATCAATACTGCACCAAGCCCAATACGGGAAGCATCACAATAGACTGTATAAGGCCCTGAGCCTGAGGGCAAAACCAATATCGATGCCGTAGTCAGAGCTGTCTTGAGCTTCTGAAAGCTCGCCTCACACTCATCCAACCATCTGAACTGGACACCCTTCTGGGTCAATCTGGTCATCGGGGCTGCTATGGATGAAAACCCCTCCACGAACCGACGATAATAACCTGCTAACCCCAAGAAACTCTGAATCTCAGTAGCTGATGCTGGTCGAGGCCAGTTCTTGACTGCCTCAATCTTCTTCGGGTCCACCTGAATACCCTCTGCTGATACAACATGACCCAGAAATGCGACCGAACTCAACCAGAACTCGCACTTCGAGAACTTAGCATACAACTGACTATCCTTTAGAGTCTGAAGAACCACCCTAAGGTGCTGCTCATGCTCCTCCTAGCTGCGGGAGTACACCAAAATATCATCAATAAAGACTATCACGAACAGGTCCAAGTAAGGTCTAAACACTCGGTTCATCAACTCCATAAATGCGGCTGGGGCGTTGGTCAACCCAAACGACATGACCAAAAATTCATAATGCCCATACCGAGTGCGGAATGCTGTCTTAGGGACATCAGACGCCCTAATCCTCAGCTGATGGTAGCCAGATCTCAAGTCTATCTTTGAAAACACCTTCGCACCCTGAAGCTGGTCAAACAAATCATCAATCCTCGACAGTGGATACTTGTTCTTAATCGTCACTTTGTTTAATTGCCGGTAATCAATACACATCCTCATCGACCCATCCTTTTTCTTCACAAATAACACTGGCGCACCCCAAGGAGAAACACTAGGCCTGATGAAACCCTTCTCTAGCAAATCTTGCAACTGGTCCTTTAACTCCTTCAACTCTGGCGGGGCCATGCGATACGGCGAAATAGAAATGGGCTGCGTGCCTGGGGCCAGATCAATACAGAAATCAATATCCCTGTCGGGCGGCATA